CTTTCGCCTGCCTTTCAAGGTAAATTACTTTTAACTGGTTCAGAACCCCACAACATGAATTCATATCATTAAATCCGCCCGGCCTTCAACTCACTTCTCATCGAGCTGGACCTCCCTTTCCCTGGAGAGCCAGGCAGCTTCTTGCTCCGCCTTTGCTCGGGCCATTCCGTGGGCTCGGAATGCCCTTCCCGCTCCGCTTGGTGGCTAACTCCTACTCAGCCTTTACCACCCGGATCAGGCGTCCCCTCCCCAGGAATTCCCTGGGCGTCACTGTCCAACTGCAGGTGCAGAGCCACCGCAGCCACCGTGCCTCCAGGCTTGCACGTGCCCCTCCCCCACACCAATGTCTCTGAAATCGGGGTTCGGCCGCCACGTCCACCTAACGCCTTTGTGTTTCCACTCCCGCATCCTTGCGATGTGTCATAACTCCAGGTCGCCACACTCCCCTGCCAAGCTGGGGCCCAGCCCTGAGCCCGATGTCATTCATCTCGGCCTCCTCAGTCCCAGCACGGGCCTGGCAGGCGTCAGCTCAGCGGGGACAGGTCTGAGTCCCAGGGCGGCTTAGATGGGGGGAGGGCCTCTGCGAGAACAGCCCCCGCCATCCTCCCCAGGTCTTGGGGCCGTCGTCACCGTTCCGGACAGGTGACACGATGTTGTGTGTCACAGCGCCCCAGGCTGCCCCAGGTTGCGTGTCACATGGACATGTGACACGATGTTGCGTGGGACACAGCGCCCCAGGCTGCCCCAGGTTGCGTGTCACATGGACAGGTGACAGGATGTTGCGTGGGACACAGCGCCCCAGGCTGCCCGGGGCTGGCAGGGGCAGGGCAGGAGTGTCTCAGAGTCCCCCAGTTTCTCCTGTGCAGGGGTGGGGGTGCGGGGGAGGCGGCCCTGGTGAGTGGGGACTCAAAAGGTGTCACCAGCTCTGAGTGGGCCTGCGGTGGGGTAGGACTGCAAGTCACTCCAGCACTAACTCCCGGGGATCTCGGGCCAGTCCTTTCTCACCCCAGGCCTCAGTGACCTCATCTGTAAAATGAGAGTAGGACAGGATGTTCTTCGATGTCCTTCCCCTGACCCCAGCACCAACGCACAAGACCTCCCGGAATTACTGTCTCCTCCGCACCTTTCTCCTTTTAAGGAGCTCTCTCACCTGTGGTGACTGACCTGCCAGTGAGCAGGAGCACCTATTGCCAAGCCTCCGGCCCCCCACCCCGTGAGCTGTTCACCCTCCGTGCACGTCCTGCAGACACACGTGCAGCTAACAGGCTCAGAGAAGGGGAGTGGCTTGTCCCAGGCCACATAGCCAGGAGCCGGAAGTTGAACCCAGGCTGTAAAAGGCTTTCACAACCCCGCCCGAGACTGCGCCCCCGCCCGGGACTGCGCCCCACCCCCAGCAGTGGCTCCTCCCGTAGGAATCCCCCGCCAGCCCCGGGAGGGTTCAGAGGGCCTGAGGTGGGGGGGCAGCACGGTGGCAACCACATCCTGTGACGGTTGCCCCGGGAGGCCTGCTCTCTCCCCACCTCTGGGACAGGTGAACAGGCCCCGCCCAGCCCCACAGGGTGGGGGCGGGGGGAGGCAGCTACAGCCCTGCCTGGGGTGGGGGAGACGGGAGGGAGGGACCGGGCCCTGGTCATTGCAGCTGAAATCACAGCCCCAAGTGGGCGAGCACTGCAGGAAACGCCCAGATTCCTCTGCGTGGTCTCTACCGGCCTCATCCCCCTCGTCAGGCACCTTTGAGCTAAAACCCCCAAATTATTCTGCCTTGGGGGCTCTAGGGGCTGAGTGGGACCCCCTTCGGCACGGCAAGCCATGCTGCGAGCAGGGACGCAGCAGCTGCTGGATTCCCGCAGGCCCTGCCTTCTCGCCCCTGCGTCCCCAGCCACGGTAGGGTTCCCAGTTCACCCTAACATTCCCACCTCGATGGACAGAGCTACGGCCACCAACGCCCCACCCAGCACAGACAAACACACCACACACACCACACACAGCCTGGGTTCTATGGAGTTTAAGGACTTGTCGCTCCACACCCAAGCTTCATTCAGCAATTCAGTTTAATCTCGGAAAAGTCAGCACAGGACACAGGGCCTGGCGCTCTGGCGGCCCGGGTGCAACGCTGCCCGCCCTCGCGTTCCTCCCGGGAGCACCCTCCTCTGCCCCAGGAGGCGCCGGGCCCTTGCTGGGCCCCTTCCCGGCAGACGTCTGGCGAGCCTGCCCCCGCGGGAACTGGGCCTCCACCCCTGGGGTCTGCGGGAGGGCTGGCTGGCTGGGCCCTTCTCTGTAACGCGTAGGAAACTCAGAGCGAAGGCCCAGTGTCCTCGGATGGTCACTGCAGAACAGGTGTGAGCCCCTGGGGGAGCTCCGAGGGTCCCTGGGCCGGACTGGCCTCGGGCCCCAGCCCCTTGGTGGGGGGCACGGGCTCATCGAGTTTGCTGTCGGCTGCCCCACCCCACCCCACCCCAGCAGCCCCCATCAGAGTGACAGCAGCCCCACAGCCCCGGTACAGGGGCTCCTGCGGTGACACCAGGAGCTGCCCCTCCCAGCACCTCTGGCCCTGAGCTGTCGGAGACTTGGGGGTCAAAGCACCGGACCCCCGAGGGTCAGAAATGGCTTCAGGAGTCCAGTCCAGTACGCCCCACCAGACTCTGCTTGTCTATCCAGAGACAGAGGGCTCACTCCTCGTGGAGGCGGCTCCCTCCACCCTGGGGTGTTCATCGGGCCGAGAGGGCTGTGCCAGCAAGTTCGGTCATGGAGGGAGACCGAGGGGCACAGGGTGTGGAGTTTCTTCCGTCCCTCTGGGCGGGGGGACGTCTCAGCCCCATGGGGGTGACCTGGGAGGGTGGGGGCGGGGCAGGGCGGGCCAGTAGGTAGAGCAGGAGGCCGGGAGTGGGGGCAGCCACTGAGGGGCCTCAGCTGGACCCAGTCTAGGCTGCTCCGATGTCATCGTAGTCCTCATTGTCAGTGGAGTGAGGCTGGGGACTGGGGGGCCCTGTGGGCAGGGAGCTCAGGTCAGCGGGAGGCCCAGTCGCCGCCCCTGGCGCAGCACAGAGCTGAGCGAGTCCACACCCTCCACACCCTGAGGGTCCACACCCTCCCCCTGGGGTGCCAGGTGAAGCCAGCCCAGCGTCCTGTCCACGGCCATCTCCCGGGCTAGCATGCCAGCCCGGAGGGCAGAGCCTGTGTGCGGTCCCCACGATGGCACGGTGCACAGAGTGATGGACCGTTGCATGTCACGAGCCCCTCTGCTACCACAGTCTGTCCCAAGGAGCCAACTGGCTGCTTTTGCTTGAATGCCTCCACTAATGGGGAGGTCACTTCTTATCAAAACAACCTCTTTGACTATTTCTTCATCCCATCCACATCCATTTTCCCCACTCCTTAATATTCTTGTTTTGATTTTTAAAGGAAGAATCGCTTTCCCTCTCTTCTTTTCGCCTTCCTTTCTCCTTTTCCCCTTGGGCTGATGCATCCAACAGATGCCCCAGTCGCCCTCCCCACTCCCTCTACCCGCCCTCCCACAATCCCCTCCCCCGCCACTGGCACCTGGACACCCAAACTGCTCCGCCGACGGGGGCTGGGGCGGCGGCGGCTGGAAGTTCTGGTACCACTCCCCTCCGGACGAAGTGCTGGAGCTGTCATCGGCCGAGGGCCCTGCTGGAAACGCCCAGAGCCAGTCACCCGCGGCCAGGGGACAGCCGCTTCGCCCGCTGTCAGAGCTGGGAGGCCCAGCCCGCTCAGGAGCGCCAAGTCCTTAGCTTGACAAATGAGGACATGAAGGCCCAGAGAAGGGAGGAGATTTCCCAAGGCCACACAGCAAGTGGCTGTGGAGCTGGGACGGGCTCAGGGCTCCCAGCCTCATGCTTCCTCCAGCCAGGCTGGCTAGAGGATGGGGGCTTGGGGGATGCACAGATTACCTGAAAAAGTTGTCCGGGAGCCGGCTAGCTCCAAGTTCGGGGGCTGGTCCAGGAAGGAACTCCTCTCTGAAGAGAACACCTGGGCATTCCACGGAGGCGGCTTGTTGCTGGTGTGATTGCAGTAATCCTCTCCGGAAGATGTGCTGGACTCACTATTGCTCCTTGGGTGACACTGAGGGTTCAGGGAGGAGGGGTCTGCAGTGCAGTGCCCAGGGTTGGCGGCTGGGACATGGGAGACGTGCAACTCTTCAAGTCCTGGGCCAGGAAAGGGAGAATGGTGAGGAAAGAAGCAGCAATGCAGCAAGAGGGCTTTAAACCAGACTTGAGGAAGAACTTACTGCCGATGGGAATCGTTAAAGTCAGGAAGGACCCATTGAGGCAGGCTGCTGCCAGTAGTTCTCCAAGTGAGCTGAGCTACTGTTTGGAGGCAGGGCTATCATCCTAATCACCCCCGTCCTATCCCTCCCCGCCAGACTCACCTTCCTCCAAGGGAGGCATCTGGAACCTGCTCTGCTGGGCCTCCTCATCTGTGACCCGGTGCCGCTGGGAATCTGCAGGCAGAGGAGGCAGTGGGGAGGGGAGAAGGCTCAGGCTCTTTGTCCCAGGAGTCTGGAGGAAGGGCTGGTGTCCCTCAGGGCTGGGGAGGATGCCCCTGAGGCTGTACGGGGTGGGGCGGAGGTACAACCCCAGAGATAGAGCGGGGCTCAGGCGTCCCTTTTCTCAGCTCATGTCCTAATCCAAGCAGTCCCCTGACCTCCATCTAGGGAAGACTAATGTTTACCCTGAAACCGGCAGCCTGGGGCCAGAGACGCTAGTGCCCTGGGACCCCCCAGCCCCAGCCCCAGCCCCAGCCCCAGCCCCAGTCCCAGCGGCCCTCCTGCTCCTTAGAGAAATGCCAAGAGTCTGGGCTCTCTCCTCGTGCCCTGGCAGCTCTGGGCAGGAAAAGGGCAGAGGTTTGCCCCTTCGAGGAGCCTTCCCAGAGCGAAAGCTGGACGGTCTGGAATCGCTGTGTCACAGCCTCTGTGGCTCCTCCGAGTTTCAGAGTCAGAGAGACAGAGACTCATAGAGTCTTAAGAATTTGAGAGTCTGGGATCTTGCGATCAGCTCTTTTGAACCTTATACCACTGACTTTTAGTCTCAGTGTTGGAGGATTTTGGACTCTCAGTTTTGCATCTCACATGCCTGGCCTCAGAATCTCAGGGAACCATCCCTGCGGCTCCCAGACACAGGCCCACGGACCAGGAAAAGTGGGATCAGTCTGTCCTGTCCCCCTGCCCCCTGGCCCTGAGTGAGCAGGTAGGGCGGGGGCGGCTAGCTGTTCCCAACATCCACTCTCCATCTGTCGCAGGAGATCCCCTGGCCTTTATCTGGACACACAGCTGCCCAGGACTGAGGCTTTTTCCCTGCCTCTCTTGCAGCTAGCAGGTAGAAGAATGGGAGCAACGAAGACATGCCCATCTCTAGCGTCTCTAGCCTTTCGGCTGCCTGGAGTGTGGACGTGACGGCAAGCCATTCTGGACCGTGTGGACGAGCATCTTAGGGACTGCATAGCGACAAGAAAGAAGGAGGCTGGGCCCTCGCCAACTTCTCAGGATGCTGTCACTTGGGGTCCCTGTCGCACACAGCCAGACTCTCACCCTGACTTGCACAGGAGGTGCAGGGCGGGGCTCAGGAAGTTCTGACAAGCTCCCAAGTGATTCCAAAAGAGGTGTGGGGCTCTCGGTCTAGTCCAACCTCCCAGCATTGCTGGCCCTGCCTTAGGCACTGTCTTCCTCTTCCCGTGCCCAGGAGAAAGAGAGAAGAGCTAGACCAGCCAGCCAAGAGGTGCGAGCTGGCGTGACAGTGGAGGCAGGGGAGGGGGTGGGGCTGGTGGGGCCGGCAGGGCGGGATGTGACACGACACGGAAGGGGACAGGGGCGTGCAAGGTGCCCTGACAACTGTGCCTCTCGCCCGCACTCCCTCACGTCCCACTGACACGGCCCCCTTAGGTGAATGTCGAGGGCCTGGTCACTGTCTTAAGACCCTACATGGCCAGGGACAAGCATGGGAGGGACAGAGGTCAGAGTGGAGATGCCGCGAGACAGCGGGATGTGTCCGGGGTCGCAAAGCTCTTTGGAAATTTCACTGCAGAGCCTTTTACAGTCACCCTAGTGGGGAGCAAGGGCATTCTGCCTATGCCACACAGGGGCTCCTGGTGGGGCCTACAGAAGGTCCCCTGGCCAGCTGGGCTCTCTCCCTGATCCGAGCAGCTGGCCCCGGGGAGCCGGCCCCGGCACTCACTGTAGAAGGTGGTCAGGGCCACGGGAGGCTGGGCGCTGAAGTCATAGTGCTCATAGTCTGTGTCTGAGCCGGAGTCCGAGTCCTCGGGGGCGGGGGCCCCAACCTGCATGGGCAGCTTGGGAACTGGGGAGAGAACAGAGCGGGGGGGCGTAGCAGAGTGGTGGGGGGAGGGCGGAGGGAGAGGTGGCAGGGAACAGGGACAGCAGGGATGGGAGGCAGAGTGGCAGGAGGGCACCAGGAAGCCCGTCTGGTACGGACCCCCCAGCCTGGATTTCCCAAGCTCCTCCCACTCGTTTCCAGTACCGGGAACTAAGCAGCATTTATGTATTTAGCAAACACTTAACGTAGCACTTGCTCTGTGCCAGGCACTGATCTAACGTCTACCCGCAAAATAGCTCCGTGAGGTGGGAACGTTATTATCCCCATTTTGCAGCTGAGGGAACTGAGGCGCAGAGAGGTTCTCACCCAGCCCAGAGAAGCAGGCATCCGGTCTAAACCCCTAGACTAGACTATTCAGTGGGCGTCTGCTCTGGGCTCAGCCTCGCGCTAGATGCTGTATTCAGTCTCTTCTCCAACATCTGGCTACTGTGTGCAAAGACTGTTTACAATATTTGGCTGACTTTGGTATTGGTCTTCATGTCATCCAACTCTTTCCAATAAAGGTGACTGAATATATTCATAATGCAATGTGATAAAACTCTAACTCCTTTGCAAGACTTTCAAGAGGTATCAATCCACATATCATAAAAGATGGATGACGGACCTAATTTTTCTTTTCCCAGAAAACATGAAATAAAACTATGTTCCAGGAGAACCTCGATGGAACCGCGGGGCAGGCCGCTGAGGGGGCGTGACGTCACAAGCAGACTAGCCGATTAGCAGAGTGCAGCTTTCCTCTGAGAACCAAGATCCCAAACGCCCCCAGCCTGTATTTGTCCAGAATTTAGAAGTCTAGAGCCCTAGGACGACGGAACTGGAAGGCCATCTGCCCATCAAGGTCCAGAGAGGCACCTGACCTGCTCAAGGTCCCACAGCCACAAGCTGGTCCATCTCCAGCTGGGCACTGCTTGACCTAGGCAGCACTGACCCTCCAGAAAGTGTACCCTTCCTGTCCTCCCCAGCCCCTCACACCCAGGTGGGGGGCAGCCTACCTTCTTCTTTGGGGATGGTGATGGGGACCACTTGATAGCTGTTGATGCCTGCTGGGATGGTGGCGGGTGGGTGCTGGTGGTTCACCATAATAGGGAGGGCTGGGAGAGGGGAGGCAGAAATTCTACAAGTCACTTTTTTGCCCTCTCCCAGTCTACCTGGTTCTGTCCTCATCGAGACACCCCCACCCCACCCACACACACACATAAACATACACACACACACACACACGAGTCTGATCATCCCACGGGACCCACACTAGTGAGTCCATTTCTGCTGGGCATGCTGGGAAAATCCTTCCCATCAGGAGCTGGATGGCCACTGCTGCACTGCACCACGCCTGCTAGGGCTCCCCCCGGGCCCACGCCCCCCTGGGCTGGCCCTGGCTCTCAGAACTTTGCACCTACCGTATTTTCCTTTAACTTTCAAGAGGATGAAGGCTATGGCGATGAGTGAGGCGAGGAGGAGAATTCCCAGAACAATGCAGGAGATGAGGAGCATTAGCTCCAGAGATTCCGTGTCGTCCATTTTCACTGTCACAGAAGATTCTGGAAACAAGAACCCCAATTCAGGGAGAAAGAGGAATGCGCACAGACTTCTCTTGGCCCTTCTTCTTGCCTTTCCATCCTCCCTACAGCTGATCCACTTCCCTTCTTAACCTGTCTTCCTCCTCCTTCTTGTTTTCAAAATGTCCTGCCTGCTTTTAGGAGTTTGGTATATAGTAGGTGCTCAATAAATGCATATTGAATGAATAATTGACTAAATGAATTTCTGCCTGAACTTTCCCTTGGCCACCAGGCCACAGGGATCTCTCTCCGCTAGCTCTTTAGTACTTAGTCTTTGTTCAATAGACAATTATTGAGTGCCCACTGTGTGCCAGGCACTAGGCCCTTCAGATACAAATATGGCAACAGTATCACAGGCCTTGAGGGGCTCTGTCTAGTGGGGAGATCAACAAGTAGACCCAAGCCGGTATGGGGAGGGCCTGCTGTGATGGAGGTGTAGGCAGGGACCCTGCAGGCATGCAGCCCTACAAGGGGCACTTGTTCTCTAAGCGAGGGGGGGGGGACCAAGGCTGGCTTCCCAGAGGAAATCCTGGGGAGTGGAGACAGCAGCATGCAGGGAAGGGCATGAGACCATCCCAACCCCCTGGTGGGGCAGCATCTGCTACCCCTGGGAGAGGACCCTCTCTGTCCTCGTTTTCTGTGTGCAAAGGGGGATGGGAAGCTGAAGCTGGCAGCAGGGAGCTGGTAAGAGGGCGAGGCTGGGCGTGGGGGCTCTGGGGAGGCTACTACGAGTGCGCCCAGAGGACCTGCCCCCGAGGCAGGGGCTGGTGGACCACGGCGGGGGTGTGGTCCCTGGAGGCCAGTTCTGTCCTGGGGCGGTGTGGCTCCCACCCCAACCTCAGGAAGGGGCGGTGTGCGCAGGCTGCCTGTGGGTCCTGGCAGGAGCTGGCCCTCCAGCCTGTGCGGTTCCGGTTCATTCCCTCTCTGCGCCAGGGCCTCCGCAGGACTTGCCGCCCCTTCAGTCTCCCCCACGCGGCTCTGGGGTGTCTGAGAGAAGCTGAGAGGGAGCCAGGAGGCAGGGGAAGCGAGTCTGGGCCTATCCCTGTGAATATCGGGGGGCGGGGTGCAAGAGGCACTATGCCTGGACTAAGTAACATAAGAACAGCGGACGTCCAGACAGTTCTTACTGTGTACCAGGCCCTGTTCTAAGCGCTTTATAAAAATTAATTCATGGAGCCTCCTCACAGCAACGCTAGGAGAAAGGTACTACAATCAACACCCCCTTTCATAGTCTAGGAATCTGAGGCTCAGAGAAGCTGAGAATTGCCCAGTGTTGCACAGCTAGCAAGCAGCACAGCTGGGATCGGAGCCCCAGGAGTCCGCCCCATGCCGGCCAAACCACACACAGCTGGCAGGGAGGCCAGGCAGGGGTTCAGAGCCTGGGATCCAAGCTCTGGCCAGCACTTGGCTGGCTGTCACTTCAGCCTCGGAGCCTCAGCTCATTCCTAGATGTAAGTTATAATGAGACCTCTCCCGCTGGGCCTAGAGCATCGTAAACACGCCGGCTGGCTGTTCCCCTCGGCATCCCTGCTGCCTGGGCGCCCCTTCCCCCCTCCAGCTCAAGGCGGAGGTCTCAGCTATGGCTCTCTCTCCAGTTCTTTGCTCCTGCCCTGCAGGAGCTCACAGAGAGTGGAGATTCAGTGAGCTGCAGGCTGACTTGGCAGGGAGGGAAGGGACAAGGAGCACAAACTGCCCAGAGAGCCCCTAGGAGGCAAGCCCATTGGCTGCAGGAGGGGGATGGGGAAGAAACCATTAACACCTCCCCCCACCCCCCCAGACACACGCACACACAGGCACTGAGAGGTAGCACCCGGCAACACTCACCTACAGTGACCGGCTGAGCACTTGCAGGGCCTTCAGGAGTGGACAGGTTGTGCAGGCGCCGGGAACCTGTCAGAAAGCGCCACCCGATCACTCAGTGCGCATTACTGAGCACCTACTGTGCGCCAGGCCTTGTGCTGGAAACTGAACAAGACAGACGAGTGGCCTGCACCTGAGGGCGCACTCCCATCTGGGGCACGTGGCTAAGGAGATGTGCCTTTCCCACCCCCGCAATAAGGAGGAGCTCACAGATTAAACCGCTGGGAAGGTTCTTTGGTTAGAATAGGAGCTAATAGAAGAATTATCCCTTCTTTCTGTATAAGCTGCTGCAGACCGCAGACTCCCTTTCCATTCAGTCTTCAGTGCGCCCCTTACCAGCCCAGGACACAGGGAGCCGACATTACCTCCATTCCCATCACCAGTGTCCCCATTCGACAGGTGTGCTTACAAAGGAATGGCGCTCACAAGGCCCCTTGGCAGATACTGTCTGGTCTCCCTGCTACCCGTGAGGTGTCTAGTATCAGCGCCCACACATGGAAGTTAACGGACTGTCTGAAGCCTCCCAGCTGGCCAGCAGCAGAGCTAGAATTCAAACCAGGTGTCTGAACTCGGTATGGATGCTACTACGGCCTTCCTTCAGGTCCAACACCCGTTCTTTCACAGTTAATGCCTCTAAAATCAGGATGATGGCCTCAATCATTATGTTTGATGGATTATCAAGAGTTTATCTGGACAGCATTTCTTCCCCTTATGGTACATAAAATAATAATGGTGGGAGGCCAAGGCGGGAGGATTGTTGAGCTCAGGAGTTCAAGACCAGCCTGAACAAGAGTGAGACCTCATCTCTACTAAAAGTAGAAAAATTAGCCGGGCATGGTGAGGCACACCTGTAGTCCCAGCTACTTGGGAGGCTGAGGCAGGAGGATGGCTTAAGCCCAGGAGTTTGAGGTGGCCGGGGGCTATGATGACACCACAGCACTCTAGCCAGAGCAACAGAGCGAGACTCTGTCTAACAAAAAAAATGGTGTGACTTATAATCAATGCCATCTCAGATTTGGTGAAATACGGTAGAACCCAACTCACAGAGTGGTTACGGGGCTTAGCTGAAGTGAAAGCTACTGAAAGCTTGGCAATGCCTGCCACATGATTAGGGTTTCAGATGCTGTCACTGATATTATCATTATTATTATTAGTGTCTCCTAATATTATTTGTACTAGGAATGCCCTGGCAAATTGGTTTCAACTCTGGAGTCAATTCTAGTCAACAGGGCCCATTGCTCAGCATCTAATAACACCCGAATCAATATTGGATTCATGATTCTGGCTGTGTTGAGCATCTGTAGGAAGGAATGCAAGTTCTTAGGACTCAGGTGGACTCCTGGTCCAAATCTGGGGCACAGTAGGGTGGGGGGTAGGGATACCTGAGCAGAGGACCCTGGCTGCCAGCGACTGGCTGCAGAGGTTGGAGTTGTTGAAGCGCCACAGGCAGTCGGAGAGGGTGGGCTCCCTGCCCTTGCACGAGTAGTACATCCTGCCCGCCAAGGTGTGCGGCCGCCCCTTGGGCTGTTCCACCGTGGTTCCACAGCCCAAGGTCTGGCAGAGCACTTCGGCCTCCTGTGAGTACCACTCGCTGTCACACACGGTGCTCCAGACCCCACGGAAGTACACCTCCACCTGCCCCTCGCAGGGGTCAGCGCCCCCGGTCAGGCGCCAGGACTGGTGCTCTGCGGGGAGGGGAGGTGCAGGGGGCAGAGTCAGGTCACGATTCTTCGGGCCAGAATCCATGCCAGCCCAGACCCGCCAATGCAGGCAGGCATCGGCACAGGAGCCTGTGCAGCCAGCTGGCCTCCAGACCTCGTGTCTCCCCCTCCTGCATCTGTGTCCCCCTTTCATCTGCCACATCTTCTCTGGCCAGCCCTGCGGCAGTACCCTAGGTCCTTGCTACTCAAAGTGTGGTCTGTGGACCATAAGCATCGGCACTGCCCGAGATCTTGTTGGAAATGCAGAATCTCCAGCCCTGCCCAGACCTGCTGAGTCAGAATCTGTGTTTTAACATCCCCTGGCCCCATTCTCGTGCATATTAAAGAGAAGCACGGCTGGCCCAGAACCTCCTGGTCTCACCTGGACGGCCCAACAGCCTCCTCAGGGGCCTCCCTGTGTTCAGCCTGCCCTTGCCGCTTGAACTCAGGTGATCAACTACCATTCAGGATGAGTGTCACCTCTAATGCCACCTCCTCCAGGAGACGGACAGGCTCATCCTGCGGCTCTGCATTGCCTGCTGCCTCTAAACTCCACCTGACCTCCCTCCCTTGGGACATTTCCCACTCTCTCCCCTGAACTGTTTGTCTAGGTCTCATCTCCCCTCCTGGGCTGTGGCCTCCCAAAGGCAGGGGCCACTTCTCCAGCACTGACTCCAGGCCTGGCGCCCAGCTGGCCTAGGGTAAGTCTTGGTACCTGAGCACACCACGCCCGCGTCCTCCTTGTGGCCGCAGTAGTGGTCTCCTGGCAGCCCCGGGCAGTCCCACAGGTGAGTCTCGGCCCCGGAGCAGTTCACCTGGTCCCGGTGGATGGGCCCTCGGCCGGGCGTGAAGTGCAAGCCGGGCAGGGCCTGGACTGCCCAGCCGCAGCCCAGCTGCCGGCACACCACGTGGGCGTCCTCCAGGTCCCAGGCGTCGTCGCACACCGTGCCCCACTGGCCGCTCTGCAGCATCTCCACGCGGCCTGCGCAGGGGCCGCTGCCGTCCGCCAGCCGCAGCGCGCGGTTCTCTGGGGGCGGGAGGGGTGTGGGTGCTGGGGTGCTGGGGTGCCGGGGGCGCCCGGCGTGGGAGGAGGTCGGGACTGGCGGGGGGCGGTGGGCGGGCTGCCGGCCCAGTGAGGCGGGCTGTGGCCTGGCGGGCGGACTCGGGGTCTCCGCCAGCTGTGGGCGCGGTAGGCACAGCGGCAGGCTAGTGGAAGGGCCTAGAAACCTGGCGGGCGGGGCCTGGAGAGCAGGGCGGGGGCAGGAGAGCTACAGGGCTGGTGACCCTGCAACTTGGTAAATTTCAGAATATGAGGAACGGTGGAGATAGAGACCCAGAGCAGGAGAGGGTGCGGGGGTAAACAGGGTTAGAGACCGGGTTAGCGCTGGGAGCGCAGGGTGGGTTTGGGGACCAAGCGTAGGGGGCGGGGTCTGGAAATGCTGCCAAGCCGTCAAGCGGCGGGAACCAGCTGTGCGCGCCCTGGTGGGGTGGGGGTGCGAGTGACTGGAGTGAGAGGCAGCGGCCGGAAGCCTGGGGAGTGGGGCCGGCAGGGGCCTCGGTGGCGGACGCAGGTGGGGCGGTTATCGTCGTACCTGCACAGGTGACCCAGGCGGGCTTCCCGTCGCGGCTGCACACGTGCTCCACCACGTCGCAGAGCTGCCACTCGGCGCTGCTGCACAGGATGGCGGGCGCCCCGGCCAGCGTGGCGTTAGGGGCCTCGCTGGCGTTCCCCGCGGCGGGTCCCCACGGCAGCTCGGGGGTCGGCGGAGCGAGCTGTGCAGCCGCCCCCGCCCCGCCGCAGCCCAGCGCGCGGCACACGGCCTCGGCGGCGTGGTCGCTCCAGAGCGCCCCGCACGCGGGCTCCCAGGACGCTTCGAGCAGGACCTCCACTGTCCCGCTGCAGCGGCTGCTCCCGTTCACCAGGCGCACCCCAAGCTGCTCCCCTAGAAGTGTCAGACGCCAGCCGAGGCCTCAGTGGATTCGCACTCTGACCATCCCAGGGGTGGGGGCGGGGCCGGAAGTTGCCCAGACTCTGCCACTGACCCTGTTTGTGACTTTGGACAACGCCCTGGCCAGCTGTGGGCCTCAGCCTTCCAGCCTGCAAAATGGGGCTGTGCTGGCTCATCCCCGAGTCCCCTTTGAGGCCTGACCCTCTGGTTTTCCTTGGAGTTAGGAGAGGGTGGTTGGTGCTCAGGGGTGACCTTCAGAGGTTATTAGGATGGGTTAGGCGTGGGATGAGAGAGAACCAGAGGCCCCGTCCCCATGAACCCTCTTGGCTTGCCCCTGTCTTCAGGGGCACCCTTTTGTGAAAGTAGAGCAGAGGTCTGGGTTCAGGGGCCCTGGTCCACTGGGTACCACGCGTCCCCTCTTGAGCCCCTCTGCTGCTCTGAGCACACTGAAGGCTGCTGCAACCTGGGAACCCTGCAGGACAGGCGTGGGGACTGGTCACCAGGTTGGACATGGCCTGCTGCAGCTAATGGTGGGTCCCCCTTCCCCGGAGCTCGTCCCTTGGGAACCACCTGCCCATATTAGCCCAGGATTGCACCCCGTGTGCAAGCACACAGCTTTGCACAGAGTACGTCCTTAGTAAATATCTGTTGAGTAAATGAAGGACCCTTCCCATGGAACCCTGCCACCCCCACTAAAAGCTCTTCAGCTTGTTCTCAGCAAATCCCCTTAAAGTACTCAATGAATGCCGAGTGCACATGCAGGTGACTTAGCAGTGGCCTCTCAAAAATGGTAGTTCTAAGAGCTCAAACTGAATCTCATGGTGGAACTTCCGGCACTGGGTCAGGAAGGTTAAGTCTTGCCTGAAGTCAGGGAGCCTCCCTGGTACCTAAAGGCTCTATTTCCCTTTCTCATCGCGCAGGAGAGCACCTACTTGGTTTCTGAAAGCTGATCGTGGACCCAAGAAAGATTACTTGCTTACCTGGTTCCAAGGGCCCCGTCTCCGTGGTGCTGGTGTTGGGCTGGCCAGAAGGGGCTGGAGACAGAGGACCTGAAATTAACCAGGAACAGCCACTATGGGTGTGTGAGCTCAGCCGTGGGGCCACAGAGGCACCCTGATGGGCAGGGGTCATTTTCCGGCACCTGCAGTGGCTATATGACCCCTTTGAAAAGACATGGTCCTCAACCTTGCCTCCCTTTAGGGCAGGGAAAATTCTCATGCTTTGGGGTTTTAGCATCCTCCACTTCATCTATTAATCACACATCCTCAGAAATCAGAGTAGAGCAGGGAAGAATGACAGTGGGCTTTGGAGCCAGACCCACTTACTGGCTGTGTGACCATAAATGGGTGACTTAACCTCTCTGTGCCAGTCCCAATTTGTTGGCAGTAATGCTTAGGAAAGTGCTGTGAGGCTGAAATGAGACAAATTGTAAGATGTTTGACATACACAAGAAGCTTGAAAGTGGGAGTGATTCAGGAAAAACACTTTTGTTTGGAGAGTTTGTAGTTTGTTTCTGCTGGGAACCATTAGAATGCAAAGTGCCTTTGGGCACGGAGAAATTAATATTCACTAAAGGGCCTTTTATATGCAGGCCTTTGCATATATTTTTCTATTTACTTTCAACAACACATTGAGGTAGGTATTAGCATTCCCATTTTACAGATTAGGGAAGGGAGGCCCAAATAAAAATCAATTGCCTGTGCCAGATAGTGTCCATCTGTCCCTCCAGAGCCACCATCCCCTCTGCCAGGGGAGGCTGACTTTTTTGGATTGATCAGTGTCTTCCTGGGCCTTTTGGCTTCTGTCAGGTTTGGCCAATAGGAAGCTGCAGCAGAGAAAGGAGGGAGAAGGGAGGAAGGGAGGAGAGCAAAGGTGTGGTGCTTATCCCCTGCTCCACCCCTGTGAGGTCCCCGGGCAGGCTGTGTCCCTCATCTGAAGGTCATTGCTCCTTCCAGGCAGCTATCTCTCCTTGACTATCTCCTCCCAGGTCTCGATAACCACTCCCTGGTCTTGTCCCCCTGGGCTCAGGTGGTAGCAGCCCAGCTGTCCTAGCTCCTGGTCACTCACTGCGTTATCCTTTGCAAACAGTCCTTTGTAAATAAGCCCCTTTCAGACTCTCCTACTTTGGGTGTGCCATCTGTTTCCTGTTGGGACCCCGACTGATACGTGGCCCGAGGCTAGCCAGGTAGCAAACAGCAGGACCACGGTTTACACGGTCTGCAAGGAGTCCTCCCCACTCTGGGCCTGGATGTTCTGGTTTGCAAAGCACAAAGGGAGGCTCTGTGGCAGGGATTGCCGTGCCTGCAACGAACTCGTCTGCGTTTCCTGGCTTGAGGCCTGGGCAGAGGATGTGTGTGTACTTCTGGGCCAAGGCGGGTAAGACATGGTGAGCCTCCTCCATTGGCTACTCCCCTGTTACAGGACATTAGGGGCCCTGGGTTTCGAGGGGATACCCAAGACAGACTCAGTCTTGACCCAATTCGGAGATTGTATGAGTTAAGAAGCAAGCTTTGATTATGTCAGTCCATGAAGGTCTGGGGTGTTCTGTCGCCACGGCCTTGCCCACCCTGGCCTGACGGACGCAGAGGCCAAAGACTCAGGCGGACCACTGCATGCTCTTGGAGACCCCCCGGGGGTGGGGGTGCCTCTAATTGCCCGTCCTCACTAACTCCCTTGTTGGCTGCCCAGCCTGACCCCCAGAAGGGGGAATGACTCAGAATTCAGAGCACAAACTCCACAACTAATGTAATATTCAGAGCAAGAATCCAGATGCGCACAAGTTAGGATTTCAGAATCCGGTTTCCACAGCAACGGATGCAGTCAGTGCTCTGGCATAGTTTTCAATATTTCTCCGTGAAATATTGAATGCTGGCTGCACGGTGTGATCGCGGGGGGTGTGTGAGTGACTGTGTGTGAGTGTGTGATTGTGTGCCTATGACTTTGTGTGAGTGTGTGTGTGTGTGTATGTGTGTGTGAGGGGCTGTCGCTCCATTCTACATTACTCTGTCTGGGTCTGGGAAACCACTTTCTCATGCAAAAAGACACACATGTTTTCTACTACAACACAAGACCCTAGAGGGCGGGGCCCGAGGCCGGGTCAGCCCCGTGTCCCCCAGGGTGTCCAGCACAGCGTTTGTTGATTGACTGAATGAATGAAAGAGTGGGCAGGAGCTGCCAGCTCCAAGGCAGTTTAAGGAAACGAGATATGCTCGAGGGCTTTGTTTCTTGTGTGATAGGCGTCCTCCTGTTTCCTATCCCAGGAAGGGAGCTGGCTTTCCTGTCTCTGACTTTGGGGCTGCAGGGACAAAAGCAGGGGTTACCTCGAATCCTCTTTCCAGCTTGGGCTGGTTTCACAGAGGGCCCAGTGGGGGAATCTGTGCTCCCCAGACGTCCTTACCACTTTCGTCTGGTCCTCGGCGTCACACTTTTCTTTAAACTGGCTCACTTTTTTGCTACAGTAAATTTGGTTGAAAAGGAACCTGCAGCCGTTTGAAAATGGGCCCCCCAACGTTCACGCGTTGGAGACTTAATTCCCGGCGCAACAGTGTTTGTTGGGCAGCGAGACCTTTAAGAGGTGCCTGGGTCACGAGGGCTCTGCCTTCAAGGACGGAAGACGCGGCTGTCGCAGGCGTGGGCTAGCTATGATGCCAGTGGGTTGGCTGTGAAAGCGAGTTCGGCCCCTCTCGCAAGCACGCTCTCCCGCCGCGTGACACCTTTCACGCAGCGACAAGGCCCTCGCCAGATCTTGGACTTCTGGGCCTCTAGAACTGTGAAAAACAAACTTCTTTCCTTTATAGATTACCTAGGGCCCAGCCAGCCAGCCCAGCGTCAGAGCGAGCCTGGTGGGGAAGCTTTCAGGTCCAATCGGGGGCTCGCCGGAATGTCGCCCTGGCCACACCGGCTACGAGTGTCGGGTAAATGCCAGCTACCACCCGCCGCCCAGGCTCCATCAGATGTGCTGAGAAAAGCATAGCTGTGTCATACATGCCATTTGAGTAGATGCTGGGGGAAGAGATGCTGGGTAGAGCTGAGAGGCAGAGCAGAAAGGAAGGACCATAGAAGTATGGAGGAGGAACCTCCAAAAAGAACCAGTGTGTCACGTGTCACCTGCTAGACGCATATATTTTTTTAAAAAATCAGTAGAAAATATTTGCAAGTACATACAGCAACAGCCTTAACAACAACAGCAACGGCAAACCAAGCCTTCCTGATCCTGTGACTCTAACCTCTGGGACCAGCCCCGGGACCGGAAACAGCCCTGAACGCCACACCGCGTGGAGATCGGAGTCCACGCTTCCGAATCGGGTGGTCCCAGATTCCTTTTGCCAGCTGAGCCCCTTTCTAACTGTGGGATTCGGCGGGCAAATCACTGAAGCTCTCGGAGCCCCAGGGGCCCCCTCTATGAAACGGGAATACGATGTAGAACATTCCAGGCTGTAGGGAGGGGGAGGATTAAACGAGATGATACGTGCAGGGCCCTTAGGGTAGCAGCGTGCTCTGAGGTGCTGGCTGTCTCTAAGGGTAAAAAAATAAATAAATAAATCAAAAAGAAAAACAAACAAAATCCAGACTGGAGACAACTGAATTGTCTAAAAGCGATTGGGTGACTGGTTAAGAAATCACAGCACATTAAAAATATTTGCAAAAAATGTCTATATAAAGTTTTTAATGAGGTGGGGGAACGTTAATGACAAGATTAGTGGGAGAAGCAGAATACACAGTTATAAACAGGGTTTGTGCTCTTCCCTGCAGCCCCTGCCCTCACGCCCTGGCCAGGTTTTAAGCTTCTGAAGGTCTTCCAGGACTCCGAGGGAGCTCAAGTTCAATCCCCAATTCTGTCCTCTCAGAGCTGTTCCTTTGTGGGCCCAGCCACTTGTCATTACACAGTCAGTCTGGTTGCGAACTGTCTAACGGCCCTCGATCCAGCTGGAGTCTGAGCATCACATGGACAGGGTTGGTATCTATTTTGTTCATCCCCAATCCCCGGCACCTTGCACAGTGCCTGGCCCCAAAAAGACGCTAAGAGGACATAAATAAATAAAATTCAGTCTCTACTACAGAAAAAAAATACCATAGGAAAAATAAAACACATGCCCATATGGTGAGTTTTCTTTTTTTCTTTCTGCATTGTGGTGCTAAATTTTTCAAATGTTCTACATCAAATAAAAATTAAAGATCTCTAAATAAATGCCGGGCTTTTTCTTGGGGAGACATGTGGCTTGCTCACAGTCCCCAGACAATGAGCTTTAATAGGGACTACCCACTCCTCCCACCCCCCCGGGTCCTCAGAGAGAGCCTGGGCAGATGGGTGGCCTCGTCAGCCAAAGCCATACTTGCTCCTGGGGACAGAATGAAGGCCTCATGTGGCTGGTGGGTCAAGGTGTTTTTTTCTCCTGAAAACGTCACATTGTTGGGCAGCACAGTGGAGTGGTGTCACCAGACTGAGCATTAATTAGGGATTGGCTCCTGGTTGATTCCTATCGTTAACTTGCTGTGTGACCTTGCACGAGAACTTTGCCCTCTCTGGGCCCTTTTCTCACTTGCATGGCAATAGATTTCTGATCTCTTCCCGTCCTTGCATTCTTTGATTATAATTAGAGGAAATCAATAATGAAAGACATCTATTTAGCGCTTACTGTATGCCCCATAGATGAGAGTTGTTTTCTGTGTGCTTTACAGGTAGTATGATTCCTCACAACTACCCTACGGGGTGGGTGCTGTTATCATCCCTGTGTCTCACTGAGAAAACTGAGACACAGGGAGGTTAAGTAAGTCACCCAAGGTCACCCAGCTGGTCAGGAATAGAGGCAAGATTTGAACCTGGGCAGTCTGGCTCTGGAAACCACCTTTTAACCACCGACGTGTGCTGCTTCCAGCATTCTATCAGAATAGACGGGAAATCTGTCCTGCACGCTCATTCTGTCATTACAGAAGTGGACCTGTTGTGTACAAAGAGCTCATATATACAAACGCAGCAAAGGAGCATAAACCTGGAGACATTAGTGCTCATTCTGTCCAACTTGGAGAGTGACCCACCTGCAGCTGTCCA